AGAGGGAGCTTAGAAGAACGATATAGCTGTGCCGGTACCTCTATACATATATATATATATATATATACAAATATACATACATGTATATATATATATATATATACAGAATATATACATACATACATATATATATATATATACATATATAATAGTGATACTAGGAAATGAGATACTAAGAAATGAGAACAGCAGCAACAGTCGTATCTAGTCGGAATCATCATTGTCACCATCGTCATCATCATAGCAAGCAGTGGATGTTTAGAGTTGATGGGCATGACGGGTCAGTCTCCGGTTTGCGTAAATCCCCAAATCGAAGGTTTCCGGGCTCTGTACTACCACACAAAGCCCTTGAACTAAACCCTGTAAAGCCTTGTGAAGCTCGGAAAGCATCAAAACTCCACGAACACGCTCCATGAAACCCTATAGTTCGCAACTTTAGAAGACCTTCTTCAAACGCTGATGAAGGGGCCTTAAAAATTCGGAACCCCAAAAAAGGTATTGGTAACTATTGAAGGCCTCGATTACCACATCTGCCGGATGCTGGGCCACGCCTTGCTCAGCGCGGCCAGGCCGTTCGGGATGTCCGTGAACTTGAGTCCCGCGGAGGGCGCGCAGTATCCTGGGACGTTTAGGGTTTAGGGCTTTAGGCTTTTATAGGGGCGTTGTCGGGCGTCTTGTAGGGGCTTTCGGAAGTCTGATAAGCCGTGTAAACTTGAACCTCAAGCCCTAAAGCCCTACACTCTTATCCTTACGCAGTATCCTGGGCTAGGGTTCAGAGCGCAGGTGACGGTTTTTGGAAATCACAGATTGCGGCTTAGGACTTAGGGTTGAGGATGCGAGGTTTAGGATTCGGGTTTAGGGCTTAGGGTTTAGGGTTTAGGGTTGTTATTCAGCCTTCCATATTAGGTGGTTCTAGGGGCTCTAGGTCCAAACAACGAAGCAGGGTGAAGCCAACATTTCGGAATCGAAACACCCGAAACCCGAAACCCGAATTAAAGGAAACTACAGTGGGGAGTTTGGAGCACATAGGGTTTCTATAAGGCTTCCATAAGGTATGTAGACCTTCTATAAGGCTCCCATAACGGTAACTACCCACCTGAAAATGTCCTAGACCGAAACCCCAAACCCGAAACTCTGCAGAACCCCTGAACTCAGCATCCTCAACCACTCATCCCAAAGCCTCTCTCTCTGTCTCCCACTGAGCCCGAAACTGCAAGCGAAGCCCAGCTCTGCCCAAAACTCCGAAGCCCTAAGATGCGCCTGGAAACTACGAAAGTTTCAAAACCCCAAAAAAGCTCCTCAACATCAAAGACCGTACAACAAAAACGCCTTCAACCCCGAGAAGCCGCAAAGCTCTGGAACCCCTAATGCCTTTCTTTTTCAAGCATTGGGGTTTAGGGTTTAGGGCTTAGGGTCTTTAGGGTTTAGGGATTCGGGTCTAGGGTCTTTAGGGTTTAGGGTTTAGGGTTTAGGGTATGATCCCTTACTGAACCCTGAAACGGACCTGTCTATAAAACCTGGTAAGAATGCTCAAAAGGGAATTCCTAGACCCTCAACCCTAAACCCTAAATCCCCAGCCCTAAACCCTACATCCGAAGCCTACGCCCTAAACCCTAAACCCCAAGCCCCTAAACTTCAACTGCTACCTGGCCTGGGAAGCGGAAGTACTCAGGAACGATGTAGCCTCGAACCAACTGGGTAGTTTAGCGGTTTTAAGGTTTAGGGTTTAAAGTTTAGGTTTTGAGCTTTAGGGTTTAGGGTAAATGTCCAGTTCTCTAAGTTACGGCCCCTTTTAGGATCCCTTTTATAACTATTTTGGGGACCCGAATTTAGAGAGCTACCCAACTTGAGGGGTTGAGAATTTGCGGTTCAGATTAGGGTTCTGGGGCTTTGAGCTCTGGTTTTTGGCTTTGGCATGAAAGCTTTAGGGTTCGTGGGTTAAGGGTTTAGGGTTTTAAGGTGATTCGGGGAGCTAGATAAACGCTAGATGGGGTTAGCTTTCGGATCTGACAAGCATTTAGTGGGGTGCAATGGGGATCTAGAGGGAGCGGCTAGGGTCTACTATAGGGGTCTTAATAATTAGAATCGGGATTGGGGTATATTATACAATAACCATAATAAGGAACCCCGAACCCTAAACCCCTATTCTAACTATTAAGGCCCCTATATTAGGGATAAGGCCCCTATATTAGGGAGGTTCCTAGATCTGGAAAATGGGTCTCGGAAACTCCAAAAACCGAACTAGACCCGAAACCCCTCTCTGAGGAATATAAGGTTTAGGGGTTTAGGGGTTTAGGGGTTTAGGGGTTTAGGGGTTTAGGGTTTAGGGGTTTAGGGTTCTCCCATACCGTAAGTCATGCTGGTCTCTAAGAAGCACGGGCTCGGAGCCACAAATCCATAACCCTAAACTCTATCGAAACCTTACCCTAAGCCTAGGCATGTCCTTAAACCTAAGCCCTAAACTGCAAAACTTAGAGAGGTCTTGTGACCTTCTCGAAAGACCGGCTTTTGTGGTTTAGGGTTTCGCGTCTATAGATCCTACACCCTATCCCAAACTTTAAACGGTTTGAGGCAGGAAGTTACTGACAAAAATGCTACTTTCGGTTGGTGAGAAGTGCAAGTGCTAGTAGCAATATCTGCAGCATTCGTACCCGATGCTCTCATCAACATCAATTCTCGCCGCAATGTTCGCGCTTCGGGCAGCTAGTTTCGGGCAGCTAAGATCGCACGAAACGCGAATTCCTCGATCACAGAGCTCCGAAAATCAGGAAAAAACAAGTGAATCACTGTGCATCAATTTGGTGTGCTTCGTTTGTGGTGTTGTTGTTGCGGACGCTTGGGCTGTCTATTGGTTTCGTTTGCTGTGGTTTATGTTTCGAGCTTGTCGGCTTCGCTGCAGGTGCCCCGCCTTTCTCGGCGCGGTGCACACAGAACTGCAGCGAAGATCCGGCGAACAAAAGGTGTGATGCGGGTAGGTGGAAAAAAGGATGCCTCAAAAGACAGGACTCTTCTATCGGAGTAGCACACCTATCTTCAGTGAACGTCGCAGTTGATGACCGCTTCTCGGGAAAATCGAAAAAGAAAGTGAAATTGAAGCTTAAAGTGATTACGAACATGTTGGGTTGGGCTGCATTGGCATGTATAGTAGGACTACAGAAATGAAAACGGTTCATGCCATTAGGACGCTTTTGTTTGGTGCAGCAACAGGTAAAACCAATGCCTGCGGAGACGCTAACAATATCGGAATATCCTTACTATGTCTGGCAGAACGAATCTTCTACCTTTTGCAAAACCGTGCTACTAGCATAGCTGAAATGCTAGCATGGTGAAAATCAGAAACGGTTTTGAAATCA